CAAAAAATGATAAAATTGTTGATAATAATTCCAAATTTAAATTCTAATAATAAAATTTGCAGCCCATTTGTGAGTATCTGCTTAGAAAAAAATAATAAATATAATGTACACCATATATGTAAACATATATGCCATTTTTCTTTAATTCACAACATATTCACGTAAAATGTCAATTTGTTCAATTCAATGCAGATACAATTAGACTCCAATACACGATTTCACGAAACCCTTTCCTCTCTCTTGCAGAAGCCGATTTGCGCCGCTCCAGCCTCCTCGTCGACGGCAAGGCTCGAGCTTGTGGTCGCCGTTGACCGGCCGTTCCGTCCCTAACATCGCACCTTCCCCCTTTCGCTGCAGTTGTTGGAGATGGTTTCGCCGCCCTCGGCTGTCAACGAGACCCTGATTGGGGTGATGGACCCTCAATCTGAGTCTGATGGTCGTTCTCTGCCGATGGGTCTTCGATTGGAGGGGTCCTGCCCCTCAATCTTTCTCTCGTTTTGCGTTCGTGGACCTCTTGTTGCCTCTGATGTTGGAGCCTTCGAGGGTAGTGCAGGGGTCCATTTTCCGACAGTTTGTGGCGAGATTAGGTGGTGGGAGAGTCGGTGGACAGAACGGGAACCTAGCGGCTGTGACACCCGGTGTTGCGGATACTAGGATTGTAGGGCAGGGCTACTCTCACCCCATTGGTCCTCTGGTGTTGGGGAAGGTGGGGTCCGGCGCTCTCGATTTCGGCTAGTGGTGTTAGGCGTGTTGGGTTGTGCTGGTGTTGGGATCGGGTCTTGTTCTCTCGGTCGATGGTGGGTTAATTTGAGATGCGGAGTTCGGGTTCGGTTGCTGTATAGGCGGTCTCGCAGTTTCGGTAGAAGTTCCTCGGGCTCGAGATCTTCTTAGACCGAATGATTCTCCACTGGTTTTGGGCTCATGTGTTGGCTGGGGAAGGCCATATTCTATTTTGTATCTATTTAGTTATTTTGTTTCTTTTTTCGTTCGAGTTCGTGTTAGTGTTGTTCTTGGGTCATGTGTTCTTGGTTTGGGCTATTTAGCCTTTGTGCGCCTGAGTGTCAAATTTATTCTTCTGTTGGGAGCCGACACTCAGGTATTCTCCTGTTGGGAGTCTTGTTTAGTTTTTAGTTTGTGTCGGTGTTGTTGGTTGGTGTAGTTTGTGAGCTTTGTTATTCTAGCGTTGCCAGGTCAGGCTTTAGGCTATCTTTGGATCTGCTTCCCAGTTTTTCCAGTCTTCGGTTGTACTATTCAGTCTTTGGCTGCTTCTCTTCGCACGTTGTGCGGCTTTTATTAATATAGTACCTCTATCGTTTTGGGAAAAAAAAATGCAGATGCAATTTTTTTT